CAGGCATATCTGTCCATTGACTTCTCAGTTAAGAGTTTCTAGATCAGAATCAGTCTTTGGAAAGAAACAACCGTACAAATAACCACACGTCAATGAGTACCACATCTGTAGTGTAGCACAACTGCTTCAGGAAACTGATTGAACATGGGTTCTTGTTGTGGCTTTTCCAAACTGTTGCAGGTGTTTCTGTTGCTCCAATGCCAATGAAACTGGCCTCATAGGGGTTTTCATAACAGCTCTGTCAAGACCAAATTGAATCAGCGAGTAAGCAGACCTGGTCTGATTTAAACATGTCCTTTGGCACTGTGGATAGCATGTCTGCTCCTCCGATTAGAACCAGTTAGGAGTTTACCAATGAGCACACACTATTTTGCAGGAGACTATCAGCCAACAAACATATAAAAGTCTGGAATCTGCCTGTCAGCACTAAAGACGCAGCTCAGCGGTTTTGTTTTGCTTTCGGTACGTTCAGGTTTTCATTACCAACCCACATCGCTCGGCGCATTGTCTTAACGAAACGTGTGTTTCCTGCTTTCCTCCATTACACACTCAAATCCCCCCTGACAGGAGACGCTAAGGAATGGGGGATAACATCAGGATTCTTATCAGGGTATTGGAGGGTTTAGACGTGGAGTGATTCACACAGGCAGGTCGGCTCATCCCTCGCAGCTGGCCCTTTAAGTGAAACCTGCTGTTTTCCACCCGTGTTTAGATTTGGCTGCCTCTCTCTTCTTCATTGGGTTTCAGACTACAGGAAAGCTCTGAGCGAAAACAAAGGCTTTTTCAAAGGCAACCTCAGCAGGTTAAGATAAAATGTTTTTACTGGTCAATATGAAAAGCACCTGCTGCTAAATTAAGTGGGGCGGCTGAGGGTGGGGTATCAGAGGCGCCTGGCATGTTTTTTGTTAAACTCTGGAAGGGATTGAGGAAATGCATGCATGAGCGAGAAGGGTACAATTAATCGATTTTACAGATAGTAAAAAAGTGCCGGTCACAGCATTCCGTTTAGGTCTCTTCCTGCTTCTATTTGAGCTTTTTTGCAGGGTTTATCTTTACACCTTTGTTTACAATGCTTTTTAGTCCTTTGGATTATAAACATGTAAGGGACACAATTCTGCTTATACTTGCTTTTTAAATGTATCATTTTTCCAAACTTCCAGGTCTTTTTGAAGGGTTGGTATCCCCTTTATTTCATATCATTTCTATGTTGAGAGATGTATTCACAGAACTTCTAAATTAAAAATACAACTTCCAACAAATTAAATAACTTTTTTTATTAATTTCACAAACAAAAAACCTACAAAACAGTTAAAAAAAGTTTATTACTGTAGCTTTGGATCACACTACAAACAAATAAGATTCATTAAATTAAAAGCATTCGTTAAGGTTCACACTTCAATGTCACTTGTTTGAAACCTATTTGAGTTTGTTGAACACAAACGCAGAAGATATATTGGTAAATGCTGAACCCATTAACTTCCTTTTTCCTACTAAGGGACTCAATGAATCGCAACAACCATAATTCTTCTAAATATTGCCTTTTGTGAGAAACTAAAAATGTTTACATGAGGGTAAGTACATGTTAAGGTCATTTTCATTTTTGAATGAACAACACTTTTAAAATGTATTTACTACAAATGCATAATTAAAACAAACTTGTTTTCTGAAAAAATTATCTGGAAGACTTTTTCTGGAAATGTACATTTTTTCATTTAATTATTTCATTTTATGTATAGGGATAAATCGATATGGATTTTCTGGCCAGTATCGATAACCGATAACTCTTTAGGCTTGGAGGCCAATAGCCGATATATTTAGGTCGATAATTATAAATATTTCAAAATGTTATATTTTTATACAGCAAACTTCATAAAAGATTGAACTGCTCTTATGAACTGAATAGTCTGTACTCAAAGCAAAAAAGCTATAATTTCAAAATTGCACAATTATATAGGCCTATATTCATGATTTCACATAGATCAGCATGCCAAAAATAAATTATTTCCTTTTCTTTACACAGCACTTGACTGTTGCATAAAAATAATAGGTTAAATAATAAAATGGGATTTAATTAACACACAAGTTAAATATATTTTAAATAATATGAAAATTAAAGAGCTAAAGACAGAAACCAACTCAAATTTTCTTGAATAAAACGTTTTGCAGTAATGTACATATCTACAATTATGTAATGTCGAAAAAGCCTTTTTTTAGAAGTGTTTTGACAGTTCAGAGCCACCGTACAAGCGAAAAGCTAAATACAGATAGCATTACTTTAGAAAATGCAGCATAGATTCATTCTATTTGGCGTTTTAATTTCTTTTGAACAGATGTAGCTGCTTGTCAATCAGACAAACACTTCCATGTTTGTTCTTGCTGTCAATTGCGGGACAAATGATTGATGAAAAGTTTATAATAATCTGCTGTGAGTTTCACTCAACTGCCGTTGCAGATTTTCCCTCAGAGTCCGATTTTGACAAAATACCTGATCATTGAGCACAGATGACTTTATGACAAACACAGAGCAGAATATAAAGACAGAATGTGCGGAGAGTTGAGAGCCCCTATGCTTGATTCAGTGACCGATGCACCTCTTCCCTGTGCTGCTGTGAAGGCTGTCAGGTGTGTGTGTGTGTGTGTGGTGTGTGTGTGTGTGTGTGTGTGTGTGTGTGTGTGTGGTGACAGCTCTCACGCGTGCTCCTTATAATCGATATAAATATTCTGATCAAACTGGATACAATCTTACATCAACAACACATGGCAAGCAATGTGTTGAAAATAACAAATAATCATATCAGATTAAAAACAACCCAAAAAGTTGCTTAGCATGTGTGCATTGCTGCTGTTATGTTAAGAAAAGAGGGGCGTTTTCAGCGATGTTCCCTCTTTTGTGACTGATTTTGTTGTACCACACAGATAGTAATTAATGATTGGACCAAGTTACATGTGCCATAAAACTAATATTATTCAGCCCTGGAGTAATAAGTGAATCTCCCCTGCTATCTCTAACACAACAAAGTAAAAGAGCAGGAAAGGTTTACATATGTAATTTTTTTTCTTGAGGTGATTTAAAGCAAAATACACAATCACATTCAATTAAACATATCTACAATGATAAGAAACATGGTTAACTACTGAGTTATTAACGCATAGCAACACTACATGAAGAAAGGACAGACTATGAAGCAATAAACAATGTGACTGTGAGGAGAGATCCATTTTAGTGCACAGTAGTGATGGGTCGTTCTTGAACGATTAGTTCACTTTGAACTACGAGTCCTCTCAGGGAGTGATTCGTTCATCCGCGCGTGCGCACATTTGTGCAGGTAGTATCGTTAATTTCAAGTCTTCATCACATTGGCAGAAGCCAATCATATGCGTTTAGAGCCAGAAAAAAAAATTAATCCGCTCACCTCTCGAGTCCTCTATCGGGTCTGGGTCACTCGTTCATCACAAGCCAATCATATGCGTTTAGAGCCGGAAAAAGTTTTGATCCGTTCATCTCTCGAGTCCTCTATTGGGTCTGAGTCACTCGTTCATCACGGGCCAATCATATGCGTTTAGAGCCGGAAAAGGAATAGATCTGTTTATCTCGAGTCATCTATCGGGTCTGAGTCACTCGCTCCTCACGGGCCAATCATACGCGTTTAGAGCCGGAAAAAGAATTGAAACGTTCATCTTTCGAGTCTGAGTCATTCTATCACGTGATGAACGAACGATCATGGCTCCTATCGGCATAGACTGTGCATTGATTAAGATTATATGTGACTGTCAGTGTAACGTGAATGAACCCCTGACATTTGAAGACATGACGAGGTGAGCTGAGCAAAGAGACAAAAATGCCTTCATAGACAAAAGAGCAGGTTAACATTGAATTATTATTTTTTCCTTCTTATATTCTATTTATGACTTATTTGCCATGCAATCAACCTTTTGGGCTAGTTGTAAATGTGTTTGGAAGCAATTCGTAACATTTGAATAATATTTTGGCAAATTGAACCAAATGAACGAAAAAACTCAAAAAAAGATTCGTTCATCTTGATGAACGAGACTCAAAGATCCGAGTCAGTAAAATCCGAAAGATCCGAACTTCCCATCACTAGTGCACAGGACAAGTCTGAACAAGTTCCGCACACATGTGCGCGAGGCAGGCAGTTCTTTACAATTACACAATATATTGGCTTAAAGATATTGGCCTAATTTAGATATCGGATCCATAACGATAATCTTAAAAATAGCATTTATCGGCAATTATATATATATATATATATATATATATATATATATATATATATATATATATATATATATATATATATATATATACACACACACATATATATACACACACACACACACACACACACACATATATATATATATATATATATATATATAAATATATATATATATATATATATATATATATATATATTAATAACCCAAATAATTATTATTATCTTGATTCGTAAGTATTTTATTCTGCATGTTTGCCTTAAACTTATCAAAAAAGACTGCTTTTATGCAAGACAAAAACCATTCCAAATACACAAAATGCTCTTTAAAAAGTTATATTTGTCCAATTATGAAAAAAGACAGAAAAACAAAAAACACTACAAAATGCTTTTTAATAACCAAATCAGCATTTTAAAATACATTTTAAGAATCATATGACACTAATATTTAATAATTTGATAATATTTTGTGGCCCAAGGAGAAACAGGGCTGTGGAAGATGAATCATCTAAAAACAGGTTGTTATCCTCTGCCTGTAATGGTATACAGAGAGGAAAAGGGAAATATTACAGCGAAAAATGACTTCCCTGGCCTGCAGGAATAGCAATGACAAAAGCAAGCACTTCCACATTTCCTTAGTTTCGTCCAGATGGATGGACAGCACAAGCCAAGCAGATGATGTTATGAAATTTGGCAGACCTAACAGTGGACAGTGAGAAAGAGAGAGGTAAACAAATATGCAAAATCACTTCATTTATTCTGTACCTGGAAACCTTGAATGTGAGCCAAGTACTCCAGCTGTTGGGAAGGCTGGATGGAGCCACAGGCCAAAGCAGGTGCTTTTCCCTTTAGGACGAGGGCTTCAGCGGTGGGTGACGTCCCGCTCAGCAGCAGCTCCTTCGCGATGGTTGCAGTGTTGCCCACCGATGGGGTGCAGAATGGCCCTGCTGACCCTTGGCCAATCTCTTTGGCTGTTGGGAAGTTTCCAGGAGCACCGGGGACTCCTTTGTTGCGACTTGCTTCCATTTCTTGATACACGTCCGGGGAAAGGTGAAGAATTCCTTTTTGTGCTACAATAAAAAAGTCATGCATATTATCATTCATTATTTTCATCAACTTCTGATACGTATATTATATTTATAAAAATTCTTATTCTATTTATTATATATTCTTATTTAATTTATTTCATTCATCAAAGAAACAGAAAATGGAACATGGTTTTCAATAATAGCAATACAATAAAAACATATATATATATATATATATATATATATATATATATATATATATATATATATTGTTATTAGATATAAAATATGAAACAAATATATAAAATCTGAATTATTTATAGTAAAAAAAATTGCTAGTTTTTTATTGTATTATGATGATGTGTACATCTAAACATTTTAATAAAAATGGAATCAATTAAATACTAAATACTAACAAAGAAATAATTAAAATAATAAATTATACACTAAAAATAAACTAAAATAAAATACTGGAACAAACATCTTGTAGAATAACTCTGATTTGTTGAATGTGTTATTTTGACCAATTGTAATTTTCATTCATTCATTCATTCTCCTTTGGCTTAGTCTCTATTTTAGAGGTCAGCGGAATAGACCCTTTTCACATTTCCAGGTTCCTCAGTAGCGAAAGTCATCATAGTTGGGAAAACTTAGAGCACAATGAATAGAAGAGCACAACAAATAAATTTTTTTACAACTATGTTTGCTCAAATAATAAAAGAATAAATTATGGTGTTATCAAAATATTCAGAAAATGGAAAAAAAAAATGTGTGAGACTGATGTCGGCAGCCAGAGGAGAGAATAATGTCAAATATACTGTCCTGTCCCATAGATGCTGCATTAGAAATGCCGCACACAAGCGGCTATTCATTTTTTGTCATTGCAAGCAAAGATGATACAATGCATACATACATACATATAAATGTTCACACGTTTTCAAAAAAGATCCTATTATTAAAAACCTTCAAGGATTTAAGTTTGCGATGACCAGTAAACGTGTCATAAAAGGATTGTGAAAGGGTCCATAAACCTCCAAATATTCCAGCATATGTTTTGAGAACATGCAAACTAAACACAGAAATGCACACTGGCCCAGCCGGGCCTCAAACCAGTGATCTTCTTGCGGTTAAGTGACAGTGCTAACCACTGAGCTATCATGATGTCCCAATTGCAATTTTTAAAAGAACATCATAGCATATTTTATTTTTAATTTGGAAGAAACATACCAGACCTTATAGATAAATAAAATGTTAGTCAAATACATAACTAATCATTTGATTAACTTTCTACTTTAAGTTAGTGGTCCAGCTTATAGTTTTTAACCTAATAGTAGATTATAAGACGTTTTTCCCCAAAAACATGTACATCTCTTACACTTGGACTTTGCCATCTAACAGTATACACGAGATACAGCAAAATCTTTTAACAGCCTCCCCAAATTGAGTTGATACTTAAAATGATATATGCAAACAATACACAGTTTGTCAAGATAAGTTCAGGTTTAGACAATAAATAAATAACTAAATAAATAAAAGTGACAGACAAAACAGCTGCAGCAGATGTCTTCATCTGTGCACAGATTCTGCTTCCTGTCTGCATACGCTGTCCTAAACAAAGCCTCAAAAAGCAGCTGGCTGTTCTCCACAAATTTTGACAACCCAGAACAAGCAAAGACTGATTTAACTTAGTGTTCAGGCCATAAAACTGGTAAATATTATCGCAGAAAATTGTGAGAAATGTAAATAGGCAGTTCCTCTAAGTGCTGCAGTGTGCTGTTGACGCAGCCCTTTAATTCATGAAGCGAGAATGTAAATCAAAACCAGCAGTTTGGAGTTCCTGTCGGCCATTTCAACAAGGTTGACTGGCAAAGATGCACTTTATATTAGGTGGCCTTAACTAATATGTACTGGCACTGAAATTAATCATTTGTTACAATGTACATATAGAGTAAATACATGTTTGTTATTGTACTAACAATGGATTAAATACCTGCATGTAATTTCATTTTAATCTCATTTAATTACATTTTATTGCATTTAATTACATTTTATTGCATTTGTTGCCATTGCTTACATCTTAACCCAACTTTAAACCTACCAATACCAGCAAACCTGTTCCTAAAAGTGTTCTGCAATGCATTATGAATACAGTAAGTATATTACATTCATTTTTTGATACAAGTTTATAGTTAAGGTCACCTAATATAAAGTGGAATCCAAGTTTCTGTTTGCAGGCGCTCAGTGGCTGTCTCTGGATATCTAATGGGAATTTGTTATTACAGTATTGGTAAACATTTGGTAAACAAGAACCTGATTCCCATTGATTTCTATAGGGTTGTTGTATAATGTATACATGATTTGCAATAAACATTTATTTAATCAACCGACACTGCATTGTGTTCACTTGGGCTGAGTGATATTGCAAAAAAATTATCATGATATCACTTTTCATATCATTCGGTGTTGATAATTATTGAATATTTTTAACAGTACATTTAGGAATATAAGGATTTATTTATTTAACCATTTTTTTATTTAAAACATTACTAAGGCAAATATATTTATTAGTCAAAAAATATATTAAGTATATAATATTTAAACAAAATATCTGATCTCTTTATAATAAAACAAACAAGTGTTAAAGAGACTCTTAAACTAGATAAATAAAATGTTACAAAGTTTGTGCAATGGTAAAGTTAGATCAACATCTGTATGGCGTCAATAATGACACAGTAAAGCTCAAACTCTGTAAACAAAACAAATAATGATAATCAAATCTGAGCTATAGGCAAAAAAAATAATTCATTAACACTTCATTATTCAAACACTTACTGCAATATTACAAATTGTGAAGTTTAATGACTGCATTAACACCTATGCTAAAAAAAGCTTTCAGATGGGGAGCTAGTGGCTGGATGCACAAGAAAAGAAACCAAAACGACACTGGTGACATCCTTACATCCTTTTTTTATTTATAATCTTCCTAGTGCTGCTATTCAGCACTCATTTGTACATGGTTTCCTTCAACATTTTGAATGCACTTTGTAATCGCACTCCATGGCATCTCTCATAACTAGGGGACCATTAACCGTTTTCTCAGAGAATGACAAATTCAAAACCATTGCTACAGCTCCGATACAAGTTTATGAAGAAAAGTAAAATGCGATGCAGTGTCTGTGCGCACTGTGTTTTTCTGAGGTAATTAGTCTGCTGTTATAACTGAACAGTGTATATTCCATACAAAGTATGAAGCAGATTGGTTAGTTCTACTTGCATGAATCGTGATGCGCTCATGGCATTTAAAAAAGTTCTAATGTTTTTCGAATAGGAGTACCTGGAAATTGCATGCGTCATATCCGCCACTTGCACACCATGTGAGCGTCGCTCCCATGTGCGCATCGCACAAGTTGCGCACCTCTATTGAAATGATAAATTTACACCCTAAGCTTATTGCCATGCCTTTCAAGGTGTGCGCTCGGCAGCCACATTTAAAAAAACTATAGCGCTTCATTCCGAAACTACATAGCAAACTTTTATTTTATCGTTATTGACAATGTTCGGTTAATAAATACTGACACCGATTTTATCACTCAGCACTATTGCTCAGTTTCTCTAGTTACACTTTACCCTGTGGACAGAACATCATGGAATGGGTATTATCAGCTTATCAGACATACAAAGAGCATTTATAAAAATATCTACACATAAGCACATTTTAAATCGAGTCATTAGGATGCATTTCAAAAAGTATAACTATAAAACAGTCTGATTTTTCTGTGATGATTTGCTTTGGTTTACATTGTGCGCTCCTGAGTGTGTTCGAAAACATGCTGGAACTTAACTCGACATAATATATATTCATATTCTCTCTCATGCTCTACATCACAGGTTCCCAAACTTTTTAATCGGCGACTCCTAAAATAAAATGCCAGTGACTCGCAACCCTCAAATTCCTTGAGGTGTTGTAAATATACAAACGCTGCCCACACAACAATAGGCTTATATAAACAAGAACATATTGACAGTACAAAAAAACAAACTGGTCAATTTAAATCTTTGTTTAATTTTGGAGACTCCCAATCAATTATCATTCTCAATATTCAGTTGTGGCCTGTATTTATTTTTAATGTATTTGATTGCCATAAAGATGTCAAAAAGGTTAACCTGGTGTTGTAAAATCAATCTGCTGCAGCTGACGCTATTGCAGTGTTGCTAATCTAACATAAACACACCAATACTATGAAAAAAATGTATAGGCTGATGGCTTTTTGTTTGAATGTTGTTTCTTTTTACTATTAAGAACTACTGTTTTTTATCTTCTGTGGGTTATGGATAAAATATGGTAATTCTAACAGTTTAATAAAATGTATTTGACTTTTGAAAATCACCAAGTGATCGCTTGTCATTGTCCCACAATCCCCACTTTGGGAACCACTGCTCTACAATGCACAAAAACAAAAAAATCCTTACTGCCGCGTCTTTCTTTTTCAATGCAAAGACACTTTTTATGTGAATGAGCCCTTTTACTGGTATAAAACGAAAGGTGTGAGCCAGAATGACATCAATTGAGAATGACAACAAAAAGCACAAAAAGAAAAAAAAAAAAGCGCTGAGATAAAAACAATACCACCATCCCATCTGCACCCTCATTTCTCTGCCTTCTCTCTCTCTTTCCCTCGTTCCAACAGGTTCCACCCAGTATAATGGGCTGAATTTGAGAATGGTGGGCTGGAGATTGGCCAGCTCATGGCCCAAGCTGTGATTTAAAACAGATAACACACAAGGCCCAACTGTAAATCAACACGATGAAGCAATGCTCCAAGACACTAAACACTAACACACTGACATATTCATATTCGCGCACACACACACACACACACCGCTGCCTTACTCATACATTCAGTTTTCGTGGAATCCTGCACTTTTTTTTTTTTTTAATACACAAACAGACACTCTCACATGCACACACAGAAAAACCAGCAACATGGAGAACTATTAAATTATGACCACTTTGCAGACAAAAAGCTGTTGAAATGCTTATA